CCCTGCTCCATGCAAGGGAATGACCAGCCTCCTTCCCGCCTCAGGTGAAGGGCCAGCTGGAGAAGAAAACGGGTGACAACTACTCCATTTTCCAGGTGATTTCGTACCGCACACAGGTGGTTTCTGGGACAAACTACTTCATCAAGGTCAGTGCCGGGGGTTCCGGCCGTCAAGCAGGGCGGTGGGGGGGGGGACCAGATTGCTCCCACCCTGGGACCGCGCTGCCGTCTTCTCCCGTGCCCACGGAGGGCCCGGGGCCCGGCCTGGCAAGCTCAGGCCCTCGGGAGTCTCCCGGCAAGAGCGAGGGCTTCCCCAGCCCGGCTGGGATGGCACGCCTCCTCTCTGCCCTGCTCCTTCCCTCCGGGGGGCTCCACTTGCCAGCGGGCTTCCCTCCGGCTTGCCTTTAGCCACCCTCGCTGGCCGCAGGATGGGCCGGCCGGTGGGCACCGGGCAAGCGGGCGGCGGGTCAGGGTCCAGCGTCTCGGGAGTGGCTCCCTCCAGCCCCGGGAGGCGATTGCGGTGGGAGCGCGGAGGGACTCACCCGATTCTGGGGGGAGGCCAAACGGGCAAGCGGACCGAGGAAGACTCCCGGGCAGAGCGAGGGGGCCAGCCCTTCTCAGGAAAAGAGGGAGGCATGTCGGGGCAGGGGGGTGGGGGGAGGCGATGGAGAAAGCCCCCTTGGCCCTGTAAGGAGGCTCCAAGCAAAGCGGCCGGCCAGCTGCAGGGGCCGCCGCTCCCGCCGTCCAGCCCTCAGCCAGCAGGAGGCACCCTGAGCAGGAGGCAGAGTCCTTCCCCAAGGATGCTCCGGCTCGGACCGGCTCCTCGCACGGGCAGGTGCTTCGCAGGGAAAGCGCTGCCCCCGTGTCCTTGCAGCCGGCCATGTGCAACGCAAGCCATCCGTACTCCCGAGGTTTCTTCTGCGAGTGCTGCAGAAGAGAGCAGGTCCGGGAGCCGCGGGCCGCCCATTCAGGGGCCCACTCGGCCGCTGCTCTCAGGCCGGTGAGCCCCGCCTGGAATCCGCCGAGCACCGCTCTGCCCCGTGACGGCCTTCTCCGTGGGGTCCCCCTCACAGGTCCAGCACGGCGACGCCGCGACCGACTACATCCACTTGCGGGTCTTCCAGGCCCTGCCGTGCTACGGCGGGGGACTCGAGCTCGCCAGCTACCAGCTGGGCAAGACCAGAGACGACCCCATCATCTACTTCTAGCCCCGAGGGCGGCCCTGTGGGAGGAGCTGCGCGCAGGAAGGAGTTGTGTGGATGCAATAAAAGTGTCATGCTGAACCCACCCCAAGCCTCTCTGTGCTTTTTTGCCCCCCCGTCCGAGTTCCCAGAGCGCCTCCCCCTCCCTCTGGCAAAGAGGCTTGGCTTGGCTGCTCTGCCAAGCTGCCCCCTGCCCCACGCAGGAGCCCCATGCAGAGAAGCGACGGGCGGCCCGGGCTCCCCCAAGGCACGGCGGGAGACTGCAGCGGGGGGGGGGGCTGGGGCTTCCCCCCTTTCCTCCCCCCTTGCACAGGGCTGCCCCGCTAGCAGGGCAACTCCCGTGGGCCCCTGTCCCCGTGCACAGACCTCTCTCAGCCACCGGGCACTGCCCCTCCTCCTCCTCCTCCTCCTCCTCCTCCAAACTGCTTGATTGGGGGGCAGAGAGGCCTGGCAGAAAGCGGACCCCGGCTGCCCCTCCTCCTCCTCTTCTTGCCATCATTTCGGGGCCCAGCAAGAGCAAGGCGAAGGGGGGCTGCAGTGGGGTGGGACGGAGTGGCCCCGGGGCTCCGGGCAGCCCCCGTGTGTGGCTTGCGGAGCCCGTGGGCTTCTGGGCCAGTGGAAGCCAGAGCCCGAGTAGCCGGGTCCCGGGCCGCCACTGCCTCTTGTGCTGGCGCGACCTGCCCTCTCCCCCTCCACCGCCGACTCGTTTGCTTTGCCCCCCCGAACTCTGCCGGGGCACCCCAAACAGCCGGGTCCACCGCTCCCTCCCCGCACTGCTGGGCCTCACAGCCGCCCGGCCGCTGGTCCTCGTCCATCACGGTGCGGCCGTGGGAGGCGACGGGGCTCCGCTGCGCTTCGGGCTTGCCTGCCGTCCAAGCCCCAGGATCCCGGCCCGGAGGGAGGCGAACCAGCTCAAGAGTCCAGCAGTTCAGAAGGAGCGAATCAGCGGCAGAAAGATTCAGAAGAAAGCGGGACTCAGTGATGGTGATGCATCCACCTTTCCGAGTTTGGTGAGGAGCTCGCGGCAGCGTTCATAGCTCCATTTTATCCTCGGCACAACAGCCCCGTGAGGTAGGCTGAGCTGAGGGTCTGTGGATGGCCCAAAGTCACCCCGTTAGATCCATGACTGAGTGGGGACTCGAACCGGGATCTCCTGGGTCCCCAGTCCAGCAGTCCTGCCTCTGCACCACACTGGCTCTCAGGATTGCACTCGTGGGTCGCCAAAAGTGCCGGGCTCCCCCCACCCACCTCCCTCGGACTGCGGAGTCCTCGGCCGCGGAGCAGCTGCCCTTTCGTATTTCAGAGTGAACTGCATGGACTCCACAAAACCCCCAGCCAACCGAACCAGCAACAGCAAAGGCATCTTGCATTTTTCCCAGCCATCTCGGGGTCAAGGTCCTCCAATGGCACAAGCTGCCCCGTCCTGGCAAGCCAGGGGGGCCTTTTATTGCTGCTGCAAAAGCGAGTCGTGAGAAGCCAGAGGCAACCTCTCCTGGCCGGGCAGCATTTGCGACGCAGGTCCTCGCACCCTCACCGCCTCTCCCCGGGCCGGCCTCGTTCAGCAGCGACCAGAACGTTCTCTGCGGTACCGGAGCGGCTCCGGCAGCGAAAGGTGGCGGGAAGGGCATTCCCGTCCACTGGTTTCTGGGAGAGGCAGGAGGACGCGGCTCAGCAAAGAAGAGGCACCTTGGATGCCCGAAGCCTCCCCCTCGCGTCCCATCGTCCCCTTCTGCTTTGGCTTCGGCTTCCCCTAGCGTGCCCGTCCCCTGGAGAGGGCCCTGCCAGTGTCACTTCCTTTCCGCGCTGATCCAGTTGCAACATCAGTGAAGCAACTGCTTTTGCTCTTCCCCGGCCGCTGGCCGGGCGCCTTCCAGCTCGGAGGTCCCATCCGCTGCGTGACCTCCTGCTCCATCTCGCAGCGCTTCATGTGGGGCTCCCAGGGACCCACGTGTAGCAGCGGGCTGCCCTGGCCGCCTTCTGCACGGTGTTAGCCAGAGTTAGCTGGGGCTCCGGGGGCGCCTGCAGCCACCGCTGCTCCCTCTGGGCCTTTCTCCCCCTGCCTTCACTAGAGCGCCCCCCCCCCTCGTCGGATGATTCCCTGAAGAGGGTGGTGCACCTCAGCTTGACCAGCCCTCTTGGGCGACCCTGCAGGGGACAGCCTGGCCTCCGGGCGGCATCGCTCTCGCCCCTGCGGCACTCGCAACCCCTGACCCCGACCCTCCGCCGAGGTGGGGGCTTCCACAGGAGACGCCCTCCCCCACGCTGAGCTAGGAACGTTGCTTGCAGAGAGTCTGGGGCCTGAGCTTCCATCCCGGAGTTTGCACAATGAAACAGCCAAGCGCCTGGTTCTTTTTCACTGGCACCCCTGGATTTCCCAGAATAACCACCAGGTTTTCCCAGAATGCCCCTGAAGTCTCAGAATTCCAGGGCATTCAGGAGGGAGGGCCCTGGAGAGGGTGGCAACCAGCAGCCCACGATGCCCACCCACGCGGGAGCGACATCCTGGGCAGGAAAGGTGGCCCCCGGCTGGGCAGGGCTCCCCCCACACCACCGGGGCCACTGACGGCGGACGAGGTTGGGTTGCGACTCCCAGAAAAAGCCGCCCTGCTCCCCCGGCTGCCCTTATAGCCCATCTTTCCTGTGAGGAGCAAGGCCACACACACGAATCTCTCCAATGCAGCACAACAACCCTGGGAGGTAGGCTAGGCGAAGAGTCGGGGGCTGGCCCAGAGCCACCCGCTGAGCCGCACAGCCAGGTGAGGACCAGAACCGGATCGCCCGGGTGCTGGCGCAACACACTCCCCAGCGCACAACCCCGAAGCAGCCCTTGAGGGAGGGCGAGGGCAGGTCGACCCAGCCCGGTTCTGCCGGTTCTGCCTCCAGACGGGCCGCCTGCCCTTTGGCCCAAGCCCTTTCAGCTAGGAGGGCCGGGTCCAGCATGCCCAGCAGGGCCTCCGCCACGAAGCCGGGCTGCGTCCCCTCTGACCCAAAACGCCACTGGCCACGCTCACACAACACAGCCGCGGGCCAGGAGCAGCCCAAGTGCAACCCCCGGCGTTCGCACCCCCGGAGCCGCCTGCAGCTCGCCAGGCGTGGCGGGACAGCAGATGAGGACAACCCGCTCTCCACCCCGTCCAGCCAGCCTGAGGGAAGGTGCTGGCGCTGCCGGAAGACAGTCCTTGGGTTGAGGTGCGTGAGAAAGAGAACGGCCCCCGCTGGACCCGGGGCCGCAAAACGCGCTCTTGGGCGGGAGGCTCACGGGGGCCGGCGTTGTCCAAGCCGGCTGTTGTGGCTCCGGATCGGCTGCCTCATCCGGCTGACGGAGGTGCACCGTGTGGCCTCCCCAGCCCCGCCACCTGGGACCCCGCGAGGTCCAGATACCGGGTGCGGGACCTTCGACCCTTTGCTCTGCACCAAGGCCCAGTCGAGGAAAGGGACGTGGCAGGCCAGTCGCCAAGGGCTGGACCGGATGCGCTGCCAGCGGCAAGACGATGCTGCGGCACCCCAGAGCATTCGAGGCACACGAACACCCCGCTCCTATGCTGGCTGAGACGCCCCGGTTCCTCCCAGGTGCTCCTGGTTTTGATCCCCACCTGCTTGAGGGCCCGTTTTGTCAGCTTCTGTAAATGCTGTTGCCAGTGTAATTGCCGTTGTCGTGTTGCAAGCCACACCGGGAGCCGCACGGAGGGCCGAAGGACAGTCCACAAATGGTTTTATACATGGCCACTGCAGATCTTTGTTTCCCTCCCGCTCGCTCACACCAGAGAAACCCCAACATCATCCGTGAAGTTCAACTTACCTTCCCATTGGGACTGGCCTTCTTGAACACCCTGCAAAACAAGAGGGGAAGGGCAGAGGCGAGTGAGTACCTGAGAGATGCCTCCCACCCCGATTCAGCAGTTGTCCAGCAGACGCACACACCTGCCTGTCTCTCCGCCCATCCAAATTTATTTCTCGGCAGCCCTTAAGGACGGAACCTTTGCAACTCTGAAGGCCTGCAGAGGCTTCCCAGAGCTCTTGCGACGTCGCCGTCCGTCCGTTTCAGGAAGGGGCCCCGGCCATCAAAGCGCACCCTCCGCACCTCCGGGCAAGTCCCTCCCTCGACTGACTGGCAAGGCGGGGGGAGCCAGCCAGCAGCCCCTCGCAGGCACCAGCAGCCGGACCACACTCTCCCCCGGACTCTCATTCTGGCAGCTTGTCATCCGGTCCTCCACATTTCTGACACTCTGCAATTTTTTCACAGAAGTCAGCAAATTCGCAGGCGTTTCCCCTAACACGCACATTTCTCAGCACAGTATGTACCCCCGCCCCGCCCCCCCCTCCAGGCACTGCTGGACTGGAGAAACACTTCACTAAATCTGCAGAATGCAAGCCCGGAAGGCCACTAGCCTTCGAATCTGGGAAGTGCATTTTGGCAAGTTCAAAGCAAAGCGCGGACGACGGAGTCTGCTCACTGCTCTCGCCCAGCCTCACTGAGGGCCAACTCAGAAGCCAAGGCGAGGCTGAGAATGCCCCGGACGGGAGCACTGCGGCCCCCAGCTCTGCATCTGCTTGGCACGGGCGGACAGCCCACCCCGCAGCCACCTGTCCCGGCCCACGCTCTCCGCCGCCCCACGGCAGCTCTGCCCGAGAAAGCTGTGCCCACAGCCTGCCTGGCCTCCTGGCCTTTGCCCACGTGGGACAGGGTCTCAGTGCCCCCGGTGGAGGTGCCAGCTCTGATCCTCCCTCCTGCTCAAGCTCGCTCGCTGTGCCCTGGCTGGGAATGCTTAGGACACGCACGGGCGTATTTCAGGAAACTGAGGCAAAGCGAGAGGAAGGCACAAGTCCTCCGACAGCCGCTTCACGGTGGTAATGAGAACTGGCGACGGGTTTCTGTTTTCTCTCCTCTCCGTGAGCACACACAAACAGGAGAAAAATGAGCTGGGCGGTAATTAAATTAGTCCTCATTATTGCGACAGAAAGTAATGACAACCTCAAATCTCTCTCTCTCTCTCTCTCTCTCTCTCTCTCTCTCTCTCGATTTCTTATTCCTCAGGTTTCCAGGCTGTTTACGGAAAGAGAGAAAGAGAGACACAAGCAGCTCCTGAAGGGAGTACAAGCCAGAAATGTTACCCCCTGCTATTCCTCTGATCTGCAGCTCTGACTTGTAGCTCGGCATATCCTGCAGGTTCAGGGGAACATTCAACACACGTCCCTATAAATGTTTCCAAAGCCAATTCTTTGCTTACTGCCTTTCTGGGTGACGCACGTACTGCTATAACCGGATGGCTTGCCATCTAATTCCACCTTCCCTGCTTTACTCAGCCATTCCTCCTCTTCCTCGGTTATCTCCCCTGTGTCACACTATAGACTGTAAGCCTCTTGGGGCAAGGACCTTTCCTCTTGTACTCCGTAAAACACCATGGAAATCAGAGGCACCAAATATAAATAAAAAATAGACATCATGCCAAAAAAAAAAAAAAAAAGGCAAGAAACAGGAAAATAAATCAGTTTAGCCCCAGATTCTACATAAATATAGGGCAGAGCTATGTGGGCCTTGTAACTTCTTCACAAAGCCCCAAAGGACCCAGGAACAAGGTTACTTCATAGACTGCCGACTCTCCACTGGGACTCAAATTTCAGCGCTCTGGGCCATCATGGCTCAGAACAGCGCCTCTGGTCTATAATACATTGCCCCCCCACCTGGGCCCCCCCAGCACTACAAATTAGGCAGGAGGCAACCCGTCCGCATGTTTGCTGCTTGCACAAAACACCCCCTTCCCTGCGGCATCCCCAGAGAAGCAATCTTGCCCTCCATGAAAGCACCCGGGGAGCCCTGAGGCCGGATCAGGCCCTGGGGGCCTCTGGCCAGCATCCTGCTCATGCAGTGCCCGGCCAGCTGCCCTCAGGACCCCTCCAAGCGGCCAAGCCCCCTGCCCAAAGCCGTTTCCCTAGAAGGGATGGGAAAGGGTTAACAGGAGGCCTGCCAGCGGGCCAGTCAGGGGGCGTGCGGCAGCGGGAGGGTCCACTTCTGGCACCTGCCCCAGGTGAGCACATGTGGAGCTACTGGGCCGTACAAGCATGAAGTAAGGAAATAACGGGCTTCAAAAATGCAGATTTTCACAGGAAATGCCCACTTCCCACTGAGAAAGCCCCACGGAACCCAGTGGGATCGACTTCCAGGCAAGCAAAAATATACACTGCAATATATACTCAAATGCAAATTTCCACACAGATTTTTTAAAAATTGCGGATTCAAGCAGAAATGAAGCAGAAGGGGGCTGTGAAAGAGTGCGGGCCGAAGTGGCGGGCTGGGGAAACGGAGCGGCCCGTCCACCTGCAGCCTCCACGTCTTTCCAGAGAGAAGGAAGGAAGGAAGGAAGGACGGACGGACGAAGGGATGGACAGACAGAGGCAAGTAGCTAAGACTGCCGCCCCCTGCAACCGTCCCAAAGCTTCACTTCTCGAGGGACACTCTTGCAGAGCCCAGGAGAAAGGGGGTGCTTCTCCGTGTGCCCCTGCCGTGGGGCAGAACACAGGCACACGCTTGCGCAGGACACGCCACGCAGAGCGACACGGGGCTCTTCCCTTGGCAGCCCGGCCCCGGACCTGCAGGGCCCCGAGGACGGCGGCCCCCCGCGGCTCCTCTCGGAAGGGGGCTCGTCGCCCGAGGAGACGGGGGCGCCTCAGGCGGCACTTGGGGTCAGGCTGCATTTCTGCGGGACTTGGGCCACGTCGCGAGCCTGGGGACCGCGGAAGCGCTTTCTGCTCGGCTTCCAAGCGCAAGAAAGGAACGCCGGAGGCAGAGACGGGCTGCTGCGGAGGGCGACCCTTCGCCTCCCCTGAGAAGACGGTGCGCCGGTCCACCTGCCGCCCCTGGAAGGGGCGCCACAGAACTGGAAAAGGTGCTGAGGATGAAGGCAACACGGAGGACGAAGGGGCTGGAGCAGCTGCCCTGGAAGGATGGTCGCAGCCGCGGCGGTTGCTGAGGTCTCACACAGGAAAAAGCTGAGGCAGTGGGAACGGGGCAGAGGGTCTCAGATCATTCACAGCATGTTGATCCTGGGGAGGGAGAGGTTTCCCCCCTTCCCCATAGAGCAAGAAGCCAGCGAGGCCACCCCACGAAGCTGAGGGGCGGGAGATTCGGGATGGACAGAAAGACACCCCTCCTCAGAGAGAGCACAGTTATAGCATGGAATCCCTCGCTCCTGAAGGCCCCCCCTCTGGGTGGCTCAAAGGGGGGCTGGACAGACTCGTGAGGGAGGAGACTCCCCGTGGCTGCTAGCCCTTCTCCTCCAGGGCCTGCATTCACCATTGCCAAGGAGCTGGGCAGGAGGCCTCGCACCCATCCTGCTTGAGTTCACCACTTGACTTCATAGAAGCATAGAAAAGTAGAGTTGGAAGGGGCCAGGAAGGCCATCTAGTCCACCCCCTGCTGTTGCAGGACACCAGGTCACACCACCCCACTCAGCGGGCTGCCCAGTTTCTTTCTGAATGTCTCCAGTGTGGGAGAGCCCCCCACCTCCCCAGGCAGCTGGTCCCACTGTCGCATTGCTCTGACAGCGAGGAAGCTTTTCCTGATGTCCAACCTGAATCTGGGTTGTCGCAGCTTGACTTGATTACTCCGAGTCGTGCACTCTGGCATCAGCGAGAAGAGATCGTGACCTTCCTCTTTGTGACAGCCTTTGAAGAATTTATAGACATTTTTTATTTAAATGTCATTTTAATTGTTGATTTTATTTATTGAATTTAACAACTTTGGCCAGGATGTCTCCAACTGTGTTTTATTGTATTGATTATATTTATTTATGTTGTAAGCCACCCCAAGGCTGAGGCGAATGGGGCGGCATGTAAGTCTGCTAAATAAATAAAAATAAATAAATAGAGGGGTATCCTGTCCCCCCCCCCCCCCGCATCTTCTCTTCTCAAGGCTGAACATGCCCAGTTCCCCCAGTCTCTCTTCACAGGGCAGCGTTTCCAAACCCTGGATCATTTTTGTTGCCCTCCACTGACCCTTTCTAATTTTCCTGCATCTTTCTTAAATCTTGGTTCCCAGAACTGGATGCAGTAGTCCAGGTGGGGTCTGACTAGTGAGGAGTACAGAGGAACTGCTACTCGGAAGTAGCACTTCTGTTAATGCTTCCCAAAATAGCATTTGCCCCTTTGGCGGCTGCATCACTTGGGTGGCTCCTGTTTCCTGTTGTCCACAATCACGCCAAGGTCCATTTCTCGTTCAGTTCCTGCTGCTGCCTGAGCAGACCGCTGGCCTGGGGGGCCCGGCCGCCTGACCTAGCCACAGGAGCAGGGCTGGCCCAGCACAGGCACCTCCGGGCCTCCACCCTGCAAGCGGGCTGCCCTTCCCAGGGACGTCCCTCGCCTCCCCGGAGCAGGGCGCACGGCCGCCTTTCGGCAGGGCAGGCGCCGACATGCCGAGGTGGCCAGCTGCAGAACGGGAAGTCAACCCTTTTAGGATGTGTCAACATAAAAAGCCCAGACCAATTAAGCCATGGGAAATGGCGATATGACAAGACGGCGTGATTGATGCCAGCAAAAAAAGCCAAGAGGACGGAGCGGCAGCTGGCCGGGTTCGCCTCCCCACACGCCAAAGCCAGGCAGGACAAAGCCGTCCCCATGTAGGAGAGTCTGCCTGGAGGAGGCCCTCAGCACCACAGAGAAGAAGCCCCCTCCCCGTCGCCACCCGCCTGACCTGGGCGGCAGGCCCCCGGCAGGGGTCCTGAGGACGAGGCACGCTCCCCTGGGATTTCTCCCGCTTTTCTGAGCCTGCACACCTCCAGGTCGCATGCAGGTAACTGGCATCTTTGCCCCAGACAACACACCAGCCCGTAGAGGACAGAAGAAGAGGCTCTTGCCTGCTGCCCCCCCTCCCAAAAAACTCAAATTCGGGCAGGATGCAGGGATGCTGGTTTCCTGATGGGAGCACAGGCATCCGCCACGTAAAACGGCGCAAGCGGAAAGGGAAAAGAAATGGAAAACAGAAGGGCAGCTCACTCTCGCACTTCGGAAAGAACGGCGCCTCTGCTCCAAAGCTAGGCGGCGGCTGTGGCGCATCCTTTCACAGCCCTTTTGCCAAAAGACACCTGCAGGCAGGCTGAGCGGGTGTCACTTGCGAGCCCCCAGGAAGCACCGGCACGACTGGCTGCGGCGAAACCCCCTGAAGTGCAGCC